TCACTCATCCAAAATCATCCAAATTTGGGCTATATCGCTAAAACCATGCCTATTTTCTATGTTTTCAAGCAAATGAAAGGTTTCTTTCTTCTAACATTCCAATATCATTTGTTTTTAAGTTCCTAAGGATAGAAATTAAGAGAAAAAAGCACATATCTCAATTTTCAACCCTCGGTCATCCAAAATCATCCAAATTTGGCCTATATGGCTAAAACCATGCCTATTTTCTAAGTTTTCAAGCAAATGGACTCGTTCTTTCTTCTAACATTCCAATATCAATTGCTTTTAAGTGCCTAAGGATAGAAATTAAGAAAATTAAGCACATAAGTCAATTTTCAACCCTCACTCATCCAAAATCATCCAAATTTGGCCTATATGGCTAAAACCATGCCTATTTTGTAAGTTTTCAAGCAAATGGACTCGTTCTTTCTTCTAAGATTCCAATATCAATTGCTTTTAAGTGCCTAAGGATAGAAATTAAGAAAATTAAGCACATAAGTCAATTTTCAACCCTCACTCATCCAAAATCATCCAAATTTGGCCTATATGGCTAAAACCATGCCTATTTTCTAAGTTTTCAAGCAAATGGACTCGTTCTTTCTTCTAAGATTCCAATATCAATTGCTTTTAAGTGCCTAAGGATAGAAATTAAGAAAATTAAGCACATAAGTCAATTTTCAACCCTCACTCATCCAAAATCATCCAAATTTGGCCTATATGGCTAAAACCATGCCTATTTTCTAAGTTTTCAAGCAAATGGACTCGTTCTTTCTTCTAAAATTCCAATATCAATTGCTTTTAAGTGCCTAAGGATAGAAATTAAGAGAAATAAGCACATATGTCAATTTTCAACCCTCACTCCTCCATAGATTATAATGAACTAAAGTAATCTAACATACATCATATTAAACAAAACAAAAAAGTAAACTAAACTAAACTTGATATCTTCACCCCACCATAGATATCTTCACCCCAAGCACTTAGTGTTCGTTCACTTATACAAAAAAGTATGTGCTTATTAGATTAAACTAAACTAAACTTGATATCTTCACCCCACAAAAAAGTAAACTAAACTAAACCAAATCAAAGCCACTTATACACTTAGTGTTCGTTCTTCGAACTTGGGTTGTAAGCCAATGCAATGTCTCATTAACCAATACTCCTCTACCACCCAAATATATCGAAAACTCATCTTCATCAAACGCTCCGATTTTCTTCCAATCATTAGACCTTAATGAATAATTATACACAAAATTCTTATAACTCTTCCTCTGAAGACCACCAACCAACATCAAATAATCATTTTTACAAGAAACGAACCCAAACCCAAAAATCAATTTCCCTTGAAAATTCCCTAAAGGATCTGACACATGAAGAAACTGACCCATTATTGGATTATAAACACGAAAGTTATAGCCAAATTTACTAAAAGCAGTTCCACGCCCAAAACATACTAACCCATTACATGAACCAATTAAGAAAGTATTCACACCATTATCATCAAAATGAAGACTTTTAACCTTAATCAAACCCTTTTCATCATAATTATCATCTGGGTATCTATCATATGCAGAATAATTAAGAATGTAAAAATCATAAGCAGATTTAATAAACACACAATTTGAGGGCACAAAAGGGTTTGAAATAGTGCATTTGAGATGGGAATTGATGAAATTTTGGGGAGGAGATAATAAAATTCCATGTTTTTGAAACAGATTTGAAGCGGGTTAAGGAATTTACCGGCAATCTTGGAAGGATTTCAGAAAAGATGAGTTCTTCAGGAAGTTCAACAGAATTTAGGGGTGATTGAAAGGGGTTATTTTGGGGTTTATTGTTTGTTTTCTTCAACAGAATTTAGGGGAGGAGGCCGGAGGTCGGAGTCAGATTCGAATGAAAAAAAAAAACAAAAACAAAAAACAAAAACAAAAAAAAAAACAGGTGTACACTGACCTGGTAAGGTGGCGACGGAGGCTCGACGACGGACACAAGCCGCCCCTTCAGCCGCCCTCTTTCTCCTTCTCGACCTCTTTTTCTTTCTCCTACTCGTCCTCTTTCTCTCTTACAATGTCGGCTCCGTTTGGGTCACCGACGGCGACAGTTGCGTGACGGAGGGATGAGGTTTGGGTCACCGACGGCGGCAACTTCTCTTTCCTTCTCTCTTTCTCTCTCCTTCTCTTTCTTCTGTGCAACGACTCCAAAAATTCCCTCTCTCTTTCTCTCTCCTTCTCTTTCGTTCACCAAGGCGTCGCCGGAAAAACCAGGGCCGCCTCGTTCTTTCTTCTCTCTCCTTCTCTTTCTCTCTCTCTTGCCGCTGCTTCTCTTTCTCTCTCTGCATTTCTTTCCCCCTTTTTTTAGGTCAAGGATACAATTTTAATTTTCAAAAATGACAATGATTATTTCCGTCGTAAATATAAACTTACGACGGAATATTCCGTCGCAAATTACTTTACGACGGAATATTCCGTCGTAAGTTTATATTTACGACGAAATTTATTTCCGTCGTAAACTTTACGAGGGAAAATGCCTCGTAACTGAAATTTTCCGTCGCTAAATTGCGACGAAATGTTTTTCGTCGTAAATATCCACCTTAACGACGGAAAAAAATGTCCGTCGTAATTTAGCCTATTTCTAGTAGTGCACCTGGCTATTTGTCGGATTTTTCCGATCTAGCTCTATTACTAGCTGGATTGAAGGTAGCCCTAGAATGGATAGTCGCAAAATGGTGGTGAAGGTGGTGTGGGATCCGAACAAATCATCCCAGAAAGTATTTCAAGTTTACTTGGAAGTAATGTTAAACCTCAACTACAGACCACCAATCTTACGGTTGGAAATCCACTGCATCAAATTCAATAGTTACAGTGATTACAAGCACCTGTTTTTTTCTAGTGACCATTGTACAATACAACAATTAACTATTTCATCCAATTTACACACTAGCAACCTATTAGACGGCAAAAAAATCAATATTAGTATGACAGTAGGATACACTGATGTTGTAACAGCGGAATCAATCTACGGCCGCAATAAATGGTTGGTGTGGAATTGCAAAAGCATGGCAAAAGATACATTTGTGGAAGAGTTCAAGGCCCAGTGGAGTTAACTATTCCAGACGTGGTAATATTAACCGAGACCAGAGTTTCTGTGCACTTGGGGCGTGTGATTTGCCAGGGACTATACCCGTTTGCAGTGTGCGAGTCATCCAAGACTGTTGTAGATGATAGCCACGTAAGCAATAGTTGTTTTCAGGAAGGAAAACACGTTGGAGTTAATTGACAGCGTAAGCAATTCAAAGACATGGCGCTTTGTGAAATGAAGATGTTGATATGTTCACTTAATCAAAATTATTGGCCATTATTGTATGGTTATGTTAATGTTGAATGTAATAGTGTATTAAAATGTATTTAATGGAAACAGTTTAGTTTATTTCACTACAAAAAAAAAAAAGAATAGGCAACACATAAAATTGTAACAAAATAACAAATGTTGTCTTTTGTATGAAATGGCAACAATTCTTATTTGTTACCTTGATCATACCAATCTATAGTACATGACAATGCAACGGTTGCAAAAGTGTTGCTTTAGAGTATGTTAGACAACAATATTATAAAATGTAGTCTTTTCTCTTGCATAAGACAACATTTATTTCATATGTTCCCCTACAAGATAACAACAATCAAATAGTTGTCTATATAAAAATATAAAAGTTTATATTATAAAAGCATTATATTATAATACCTATTTAACAACATATATAATTATAAAAAAAATTGTATTTGATAAAGGAAAAAAAACTATTGAACAAAATTTGTATTTAATTTTTTTTTAAAACAAAATACCAAACGTGTCAATGATTTTAGGTTTTCAGGGGCGTTGAGTTATCACATTAAGTCATTCATGGGTCATCGTATCATTATCATTTTCATTCTTATCATTACCTATCAACTTATTATTTTTAAATCAAATTGGTGTTGAATTATCGACAATTTAATGTACCATATAGTATGAGTCACACTAAAGTGGTTAGGGTTAAACAGGTTGTGGGTTTGTTGTAAATAGTTTGGATATAATGGGTAATAGACTTATAGGTAAAAACGGTTCTAATGGGTGGCCGGGTTTATATAATTTCAGTTAAACTTTTGGTGGGTTATACACAATAAAATTTAAGTTAAAACTTGTGGCAGGTTAATTATAAGCGATTCGGGTAAAACAAGTTAGTTGTAGAATGAAATGATTTAGGCTCATCATGTTTATATGATTTTAAGTACAATACTATTAGGTTTGAAACCTAATTGGTACAGATAGATCATTTACAACTCTATTTGAATTTCACCTTGTATTGGTTTATCAATTAGAAGATTATTTTAGAAGCCCGTATATTTATCTTGACAATTTTGGATAAAATTGTATATTCCTATAATTGACATATCTTGACCAGAAATAGGAAGCTTAGATATGAAAATATGATTTAAAACTGATTTAATTTAATATAGGGCGAGTTACTATCGTTTTCAAAAGTAATCAATGTGCCACATTATTTTATAAATAATATGAAGTTATTTAACCTTTATAACTCATTGAGACATTGATCAAAATAATTTACAAGGAATTGAGCATTGATTGGCCTTGGTAGAAGGGCCCCTTTACCTAATTACCTATCAAATATTCAAAATACACAGAGTACTTTGTAAGAAAAATAGAAATCATAACATAAAACTCGTTAAGAGATAGAAATTAGACCATTATCCTTATTAAAAAAAAATTATACCTTTTATAGTTATAAAAAACTCACTTTTTTTTCTTTAATAGTTGAAATAAAAAAACCTCATATACTCATAATTAAGAGATAAAAATTAGAACTTTCTTTAAAAAAATAAAAATTACTGTAGAACTTTTATCTCAAAAAAATAAAATAAAATAAATAAAGACAATCAATTACCGCGAAAATGGTGAATTGTTTTTTGGGTTTTTCCACTAAGAATCAGTTACTCATAATTAACAACGCAAAAAAAAAAAAAAAAAAAAAAAAAAAAAAAAAAAAAAAAAAAAAAAGCTCAGCGAGAAACGCTTCTCTCTCTTCAATGGGTAATCTGCCACTGCCAGCCACCGCTGCTACCTGTGTGCCAACCTGCCGCCGCACCGTCCATCCACCGCACTCCAGTCTCCAGCCACCGCACTCCAGTCTCTAGCCACCGCACAGCCACACTCTAGACAAGTTAATTTCGTATTCATACTTAACTATTGATTTTAAGCTTTTGATTTGTTATTCTACATGAGTTGTTGGGTTGATTTTGTGCATAAATTACTTGTTTATATTATTTAATCTATCAAGTTAGTGTGGATGTTGCTTGAAATTGATGATTTGTTATTTAGTTTATCAAATTAGAGAGTTAGGGTTTTTTAATTTCTTAGGAATTGATAATATTGGTTTTCTCGATTTTTTTTTTCCTTAGGAATTGATAATATTGGTTTTCTGGATCAGCCATTGGTGTAAGTTATCTTTAGGAATGAAATTAATTAATTGATTTCTATCAATCAAAATTCAAAGAAAAAAGGATTACAAGCTCAGCCCACCTTCTTTATGAAATTAATGACCAGATTATATAGTCATTATTTATCCTGCTTAACTTGAATTTGCTTGTAGATACCGTAGTAATGTTAGATTTCAGAATTGCATTTATTTCGTTAATATATGAGCTGTTGTACATTCAATTGTTGCTTAAGATCTGTAGCCATTTTATTGACATCTCCACTTGATTAATGTGTTTATTGATGGAAATAATTCACATACAATATTTTGTTGGATGCAATTTGGTACAATAATGTTTAGATGGAATAATTTGCATGCGATTAACTAATTTCTTTAATCAAGACATATTCTACATAGATGTTCAAGAATGTGGATTGTGTGTGAGAGTTTGGTGTTAGCATTGCTTTTATGTGGAAAAAGCTGAGTTAGTGTTATTGTCTACTCTGTATTATTGTTGCTTGAATGTTAACATTGCTGCTATAGTTTTTCCGTTCAATTGCTACTGTATTTTGTCTGAAATTATTGTTGCATGTAATAATGTTGTTGTCGCCATGTTGTATTGCTGCTATTGTTACTTTGCAGTTGCCCCATAGCTGCAGTTCTATCCGTCCCAAAATTATGGACCTACAGTCGTTTTTAGCCCCTAGCCCCTTCATAAAAGTTATAGATCTTGCAAAGTTATCCAATCTAGGCTCAAAAATTTCTCAATTTGGAATTGTGTGCTGAAAGTTATGCCTTCTAGAAATTTCTGTGGTCTGCTAACTTGGTTCTATCGCAACAAGTTATTATTGTTCTCTTGATGCCTATGTGAGGTTGTTGCATTGAGTTGGGTAGGGTTGCTAAATTGAATACTGTGCCTTTTCTTTTTTATTTTTATTCTATTTTCCCTACAATTTTTTACAAATTACTTCTTAAATTAATATGTGGATTTGGAAATACTGGTGTCTTTTGTAAACAAATGCTTGATTTTGGTACATTTCTAAACTTGAAGTGATTGAGAAGAATTCTTGATGTTTTCAGAAATTAGCTTGAGAGAACCATACAAGTTATAGTTGTGCCAGATTATAAACGGATTTTGGGGCTCGGTTATCTTGGTTGTCAGGTGGTTAGATGTGCCCTAGCTCTAAATAGATCATTATTATTGTAAAACTTGTGTGATTTCATAGTTGTAAAAATGAACATGTTTGTGGAAAAATTGGCTCATTAAACAACACTTGGAGGAGTTTGTCCATCAAGGGTAAGCAAAATAGATCCTTTGTGAATTTATTATGTTGAATATATAATTTGAGAAGGTTCGTCCTACCTCTCTTGTTTCAGTGTTTGCCAATAACCACTGATGTCAGGACTTACAGCGAGAAAATGCTTAACGATGAGTTCTACATTGGTCTATGACAAAGAAGAGCCACTTGGAAGGTTGTAAAGCTTTTTTTAATTTTTTTTCTTTGATACATGTGATGAAAAATTCGTTACATTATAGATTGAGGTTACATAACTTTTTTTTGTAGTAATATGATGAGCTTCTTGAGGAGTTCATGAGTGCAGTAAAGCAGAACTATGGAGAAAAGTTCTTGTTATACAGGTTTGTTACTAGACTTACTACTGTCTATGATTATAATTTCCATTATTTAAAGTAATCTGTATCCTTTCATATTTTAAAATTTAATTGGATTTATAACTGAAATTCAAAGACTACCAACCATAATGCCTTCAAGCTGCTCTCAAAATACTCAACAAGTTATCGTGTGTTAGTTCAATGGTGATATTCAGGTATGTAATGAGATAGATACGTTTTTATGTAATAATTTACTTTGTGTCAGCTCTAACCCCCCTTTTTTTTCTTTCAATTCTATTCTTCTCTGCATAGGGGACTACATCTATTGTCCTAACAAGAATTCTTTTCGCACTGAAATTAGTTGGTGGCACCTTGGCTGAACATATATTTTTATTCCTTGGACCAGGAGAGGTAAGAATGATACCTTTTTTTTCTTTGACGTTGAGCTCTGAGTGTAAAGTGGTTCTGATTGAATTACAGTGAAGCTAACATTTTTATTCAATTACGGTGAAGCTGATTCCTGTCATATGACATTGTAGGCTGCCAAAGGTTTTAATTCTTTGTTTAGAATTTCAATTATTTATCTTAAATTTTGAAAAACTATATTATTCTTTAACTTTTTTATTTGATTGGTATTACAGGTAAAGCACATGGAAGAAAGATATATATTGAAGACAGAGAAAGAGAGTTGATTTATTGGAGCTTTAGATTGTCTATAGTCAATTGACTTGTTTCCCGCTTTGGACGTTACAATCCCTCCAATGTATATACAATTAGATACGAACAATTAGTGGTACTAATAATGTACTAGTTTGTGAATCTATTTAGCTTTTTTAGGGTAGACACATTGTGTAGTATATTTACTTGGATATTGTTTTTGGATTTTGATAGATGTGTTCACATGCGTTATGATATAAAAAATTTTACATCTATATTGATGTTCAGCTTCCATTTAGATTAATTTTTCTTCCATTGTTCAGTTCACACGTTTATTCATTATAGTTCTTTCATTTCATATACAATAATTTTTAAAGTGTTGTCTTTCAGATTTTTTGGCAACAATATTGTATTATTACTATCTAATACAACAGATAAAGAGCTTGATGCATATTATTATAGAAGAAAACATTTTTTTAATTGTTTTCTAAGATTGCAACAATTTTCTTTTGTTGCCTTTGTAAAAGTGTTGCCTTAGGTATCATTATACCTTGGCTTTTAAAATTGTTGCCTTTGAACTAAAATGTGTTGCCTTAGGAATAGACAACGGGGGCATAAACTACGCCTCATATGTGTTGCCTTAGCTACAAGGCAACACTTTTTTGATATTAGGCAATAGTTTTTCAGTGTAACCTTTGCTTTATTTTGTTGTAGTGTTTATAGCAAGTTCCTTTGTAATACCACTAATGTAGGGGCGGACCTTCAGTAGGGCCTACTGGGCCTGGCCCCTGGTACAACCCAAAAAGAAATTTAGTCCTAAAGCCCAACTCAAAAAAAATTATACTCAATAACCCCAATACTAGCTACTACACTTTGCTTTTTAAGTTTCTAGATTTTACAAAATGGAGTATACTCTAGTTGTCTACTCTGTATGGAGTATGTAATTATATACTCCTCTGCAGTATATTCTTTTCCTTTTTTTATACACTTAATTATCAATTATCACCCTTAAATGGACAGTAATATTCTAATCAACCTAAATCACTACTGATAATTAAAGTATTTCTTTTCAAGCTCATCATTTCCTGTAAGTCTACACCCAACAAATAGAAATTCCCTTTGTCAATAAAAAAAAAATAGAAATGAAACATCTAAATTAATTGATAATTAATAAGTTTTAGGTCAAATTTATGTCTTAGTTTAAACATATTTGGCCCCTAAAAGAAAACTATTCAAGCTCCGTAGATTTTGAGAAAGTCCAAAAATTCCTTTTGTCTTAGTCCAAATTTATGGTCGTTTCAGAAAGCCTCTGATAACAACTCATTACTCCTAAACTATGCCAAATGTAATTTAGATTTCTTGGGCCGATTTAATGGTTCAATATTATGGGCCAATGATATGAGTATTTGTTGAAAAGTTTTAACTAAATGATATTGAAGTATGGGCAAGTGTTATGGAGTACTTCTCTTGGCTCACTTTGGATGGGTTGGATGGGCTTTATAGTTCGGTTGGGCCTTATTCATATTCAAGGGCCAGTATGACATATTCATAAGTGAAACAAATCACACTTAAAGTTCATATTCAAGGGCCGGTACGACATATTCATAAGTGAAACAAATCACACTTAAAGTAGAGAAATACATGGTGTGTGTGGGTGAGTAAAACTCATGCCTCAATTATAAACTACAGTAGAGAAATAATAATACAACTCTAATAAAAAAAAGGAAATAATAATACAAGTTGTCATACGTTGCCTAGTATAAAATATTTATAGAATTACCTAAATTAGCATAAACAAGGGGGCTCAAATAAGTTAGGGGGCGTTTTGCAGTTGTTTTACGCACGACTCCTTTGTACCAACAACATGTTCCTTGACAGCTTGGAAGTAGTGAGGCCTTTTTCATGCAGGAAACAAATATATCGTGATAAACTTGTTGTATGTTCAACATCTGGTCACAGAGAAGGATATCCTGTGATTAAGTGATCAAATTGAACCTAATATCAAAATAGATAGGTCAAGCAACTTACAGGTCTACGATAGAACTGATATCTCATGTTATGGAGTAAGCAGATTACAACATCATTTCATATCGGGAGTTTGTCTTTAACGCAATACAAATCCGGTACAAAGCAAGATCAAAACTTAAGGTTCTTCAACGGTCTTGTAGAATAACCTAGAAGAAGCCAATAAATAGTTTTTTAAGTACAACCAATTCCATTATTGAAGCCAAACAAGAAATACTCACCTCTGAGACAACCAATAGAACAGAACATCTGGGATTTCCAATGAATGTAGACAATGAAGGGAGAATCACGGTATTGTAATCTGATAGTCCATCAAACGATACTACCTGAAGCTAACACCAAATCACAATTAGCAATTAACATTAAGACTATAATAAACAACAGAAATAGGGAAACAATTGCATGAACTTAAAACTCACAAATGCAGAAGATAAAATTAATGGCCAATCACCCATCATGAAATAGTTAGAAGCTCTCATTATCTGTAAAAAAAAATAAACATATTTGTTTATCCTCATAACTGTGCCATAATACAGTTTATAAACAGTCTATATTTACTACCAAGTACACGACATTTCCCATTGAAAATATTACCCCCAAAATCATCTTTCTTAGCAGGGAGAGAGCTCTTGTAGGTAGAAACCTGATGACACATAGGTAACAATAAAATGAGCAACGAACTCTTAGCAAGGGAAGAAACCATTCATATACAAAAGAGCTTTTACCTTCACCAATCATCTACATAACCAACATGCGATAAAGCATCGGACACAACTGATATTTTGCCTTGTGTTTGATTCGGTTCTTCAGAAATAACAGCAACAACACTTGCACTTTCTATTCCGTATGTGTTTTCAGCTTCCTCGCGAGGGATCTTTGATGATGACGCTCCTCTACGACGTCTAGGAGTCGCTGTGAAATCAATATCATGTTCAATAACAACCTTAGTTACAGGACCAGGTCCATCCGTAGCTCTAGCCTGCCTTGGATGAATCTCACCATAAGCAACATCCAGGGTCTATCAACACACCAAATTGTACCAGTTAGTACACACGCTTGAATATAAATAAACACAGAGTACTGTAAAATGAAACTGGTTAACAGATAATATCATATACCCCTTTGCATCCATAATCACCTCCATTGGGTGATCTGTCTCCTTGCTAGCAATCATTATCTCCTTCATGGTCCAGACCTTCAACCTAGGGAAAACACCCCATTGTACAGCCTCCCCTATCAAGCCGGTCCAAGTAAAAAATCTGTCACATACCCTCAACAATTTATTAATCACATTAAAACCAAATGCCAACAACTACAAACATAGACATAATACACTGATCGTACCACGACAAATAAAATGCAGCCACCACATCCACCAGCATGCCCATAAGAATAAAATCTACGAGCAAAGGACCGGACACTAGAAAGCAGCTTGGATAGCACCAGAGTGCACCAATCATATTCAACGGCTTCCATAGCACATGTCAAAGCAGGTACCAAGTCAGAAGACAATCTAGTGGACAAAGTAGGACAAAACAACATTTCGAAAGCAAACAATAAGAAGAGCATCTTGAACTCTTCCTCCTCGTTCTCTTCCCAATAACACTCAAGCTTCTCCAATAACTCGGGGTAGACTGGAATTCCTACTTTATCGTAGACGTTTGGTTGTCCATTATTCCGTGTTGTCCCGTATTTTGCAATTATGTTTTTAACCTTCTCCCGTTGTACCCTCTTTAATGTTTTGCATGATGGAAGTATCTTTAGTCCATTAGGGATGCCAAGAACCCAATGAACTTGATTTTTAGACAACCTTAAACACCTTCCATCCGGGGTTGTAACATCTTACTAATCGGATCCATTCGGGTCACTAACCAGTACCCCAGCTGCCTTGGAAGATGCATGTCACCAGATAAATACAATAGCCCTCCAAATCCCATTTCGGCAACCCACCGTCTCCTACGTGATTCAAAGGTATGATAGATTCTGGCAAAACTCTCCACTCGATAGTTAATGTTTGGTGGCTATTGAATTTGGGTACAATACGTTAAATGGAAAAAATAACAACATCATAACATTTACTTGAACTTGAAAAACAACACACATTGTACTTTACCTTAGACCTTGCCTTAAAAAACTCCTTTAAAACTTCACCTTAAGCTTTTAATTTCCCACCAACAGTCAAACTATCATCCTACTGGTAGATTTCAAAACATCATAAACGAAAGTTTGACAGGCAGAGAGTATCTTGGTGTGATTTAGAACTTATCTTGAACATTGCCCGGAATACGTGTTTGCTATCTTGCATCATTTGGAGTAAAATTTTATTATCCGTTGCGTCTAATACAATCAAACTACTAGAATCAAACTAATAGTCAACCAATTTAATTAATACACATTGAAAATTTTGAGAACAAACAACCATAACACCAAAAAAAAAATACAGAAATTGTTCTAATGCTGCAAATCGAATCGCAAACTCAAATTCCAATTCATAACATTTCATTAACGTTAATTGTTTGGTTTTCAACAAAATTGGATTCACAATAAGTTTCAGAACACAGATGATGTTCACTACTACCCATCGCCAGAACACAAACAGTTTCTGCTACTTATCGACGAAATTAGATTCACAACAAGTTACATTAACACAGTATGTCTTCAATTTAACCTATTTGATTCGCAAAAGCTAAGCTATATAATTCGCAAAATCTAAGCTATTTAATTCACAACATATTTTGTTTCAGAATAATCTCCATCAACATAAAGCCATAGCAAGAGCACAAACAAGAATTTAAAGAAACACAATCGGTATTCAATTCAATCCATATAAACAACAAAATTTGATTCACGATAACAACCATAAACCTAAATGGTCTTCAATTGAAGCCATAGCAAGAGCACAATGTCGCAATTTGAGTTACTTTTCGACAAAATACCACATTAATTCAGTGCGATTTAGTTCCACTAACCTTTTCTTTTTTAATTCAACCGGACGCCGCTCTTGCGGCTTTTGGTTGTATTCCGACTACCACATAACCCTCAAGAACCTCAATTTCACTTATAATTGATCACCGACGATGGAACGTCAAAGTTATGGCCACTGAAGAAACAATCGGTGAGAATGTCAAATTAGGGGTGAGCATGGGACGGGTACCAGTACCGTTAGTACTAACGGCTCGAGTACCCGATAACCAAAATCACTAAAAGTGATACCCATAACCGAAACCGATAAGTTTGGATACCCGGATTTCGGGTACCCGGATTTTTGGATCGGTTATCGGGTACCCAATAAAATATCCAATAATGATAATTAAACTTAATTATGTAGTTATTATGATATAATTTACAACTAATTAAAAACTATACCATATGATCTTGACTAAATTATTAATAATATTACTAATCATTGATATTATAAAGTGATTATGAAGTAAAGTAAAAGTTTAGATATATATTAATAGATTTAAGTAGGGAAAAAAAAAGCAAAAAAAAAAATGCTTATCGGATCGGATCGGGTAACCGTTAATTTTAAAATGATACCCATAATCATACCCGATAACAAATTATCGGAACGGGTACCCGAACCGTTATGGTCATCGGATCGGGTACCCTAATTTTCGGAACGGTTACGGATTGATTTTTAGGGTTTTCGGTTTTTCGGGTAGTTTTGCTCGGCCCTATTTTAGAGATTGGGAAAGTAACCAGAAACGTTAGAACAATTTGCTAAAAGACGAACGTTAGAACATTGACTAGTCAAGCGTTAGTTTCATAGTTTGACTAAAAAGAACGTCTGCCATGTCATTTAGACGTTTTCCCCATTAATGAGCGTTGCGACCATATTGCCCCCTACTTTAATTGGGATATGATATCTTTGCCCCTTGATTTACTGATTTCGCGCATCAGCCTGATGAACATGAATTTCCTCGATTTACCCAATATGAACCGAATTTAACTCAAAATTTTATTTAACCCAGCCTAAACCCGACTTGATTGCTCAATTTGATACCTATACATGTACTAGATTGATCATTTGCAAAAGTTTAGGTCCTTTTATTTGCTTTACTATGTAGTAGTAAACTCAGTCACTCATATATTACCTTAAGCAAAACTGCAAACATCAGAAAACGATTTTCCTGTTTGATTTAACCAACTCATTCATGAACTCCGCTGACGTGTGTCTACCAGAATTTTCCTGTTTCATTATTTTTTATTTTTTTAATCCAACCGGTAAATTCTTGCCTCTTCTCCTTCTTCTTCAGAAATTTCAGTCTATTTTCCCAGAATTTCTGTATTTTTATTTTCTGATAGATCATAAATTCCTTGCATGGAAATTGGATTACTTTCCAAATCTTTCATGAGGTTAGTCTTTTTGTTGCATTTTTGCGCTTTTACGTGAAGTGTGCAATTTGCTCTTGAATCTATGAAATTATAAACATCACATCACTATAAAAAAAGTTAATTATTTAATTCCATATTTCTAATTAAGGAAATTATAGGTGTAAAAGCTTTGATCATGTTTAATTATTGGCATTTTGAACATTCGGATAATTAAAACCGAATATTCCTCCATTTTTTTTCCTGGGGTTTTCTTTATTTTGTCTACTTTTTCTTTATTCCATTGTGGGTATGTCAATTTTCATTGTTAATCTGTAATATTTGATTTTTTGAATTGTTTGGATAGTAATCTGAATTGGGTTTTTGATGAATTTTGGGTTTCTTTTAATTTAGCTGAAACTCTGAAATTGATGAGAAATCTGGTAGAATTTCATTGATTGTTTTGACTTGTCTGAAAGGTGGTTTGAATAGGGTATTTTGATTTTGTTGAGCTAAAATCTTCCTTTAAATAGAAAAATCACAAGTATTTTTGTTACTGGGAGAAGTTGGTGATTGTTTGGTTCGTTGAAATTTAGTTGGGTTTCTAATTATAGTTTGAATTTGGGGTAGTTATATACCTATTTCAGATTCATATGATCGTCATTTGGGTGTATACATTACCAGTGATTGTAATCGAGGTTGGGGCGGAATTTGAATTTCATTTGTGAAAATGTTTGCTGTGGGGAGATTAGGAAGTTACATTAGCCGAGGTGTATGCACTGTCTCTGGCCCCTTTCATCCCTTTGGTGGTGCAGTAGATGTAATTGTGGTGGAGCAGCAACATGGTGGCTTTAAATCGACCCCGTGGTATGTTCGATTTGGAAAGTTTCAAGGTGTTTTGAAAGCCACGGAGAGAGTAGTCAGTATTAATGTTAATGGAGTCGATGCTGATTTCCACATGTATTTGGATCATAAAGGGGAAGCATTTTTCGTTAAAGAGGTTGATGCAGCAGAAGGGGAATCAGAGTCATATTATTCCTCTCCAGATGAGAAAGAAGTAAACTCTGATAGTTGGAGAACACAAAAGTCTATGAGCTGCAACTATGATGCTAACCGGACAGAGTTGATTTCTGAACTTGAAGGAAGTAATGGAAAGGTTATAGCTCGGACCAATAGTAGTCGACGGGGAAGGATTTTTGGTCTTCCTTTTGGTAGACGATCGATGAAGGAGAATGGTTTCCGGGATGGAAATGCTAGTGCCGAAGTGGACAGTGTTTCTTTGGAGCGTGCTGAGATTGCTGCGGATTTATTAGAAGTACGGTGGACAACTAATCTCCGTCCTGGCAAAAACCAAAGTGCCGGTGTTTCTAATGCAACTAAAAAGCCTTCTTCTGTATCCTCTGAAGGTAATGTTACTTCAGGTATGTCTGATTGCCTGCAGCCTATATCAAGTATTGAGAAAACTGATACTCAACTTTCATGTTTGATAAACCCTGAAAATTCTGCGGAGTTTACCCTTGAGGAATCTTACATTGCAGCTGATCTTACTGCTGTAGGATCAAATGTATCTGATGGAGTTCATGATGGCTGTAATAAAAACAACCAAATTTCTGTGAGTGAGTTCTCCGAGGTTTCCAAGTCTAGTCCAAATGCACAGACAGTGGCAAGTGAAATAGTTGAAGGCAATGCTTCCCCTGAACTGCCTTTTAATACCATAAATGGCAAGCAGGAAAATATTGGCAAATGCAATGGAGATGAGGATACATTATGGAATGCTTCTACTTCTCATGTTACAGATGTGGTTGGTACCTCTCATCAATGTAGCGTAGGTGAGGTTCCTTTAGAGTACTCCAGCACAGGAGAGCCTTGTAAAAGTGTAACTGGCTCAATGAATGAGCTGAGCTCAGAGGATCTTTATGCTGGTACCAGTGGTTTAAACTCGCTCCCTCTAGGTTCAGAGCAGGAAAGTTCTATTACTTGTGTGAAACATTGTGCTCTTTCTTCAAGTCCTAAAGATCCTACTCAAGACATAATTAATGAAGTAACACCTTCAGATGATAACGAGGAGCAATTCCTTTTTAGTGATCTTGATGACTCTAAGGTGGAGAAAGTGGAACTTATTCAGACCTCATCATCAGGGGGTTCACTAGAAAGCAGTGAAGGAGGACTGCCAGAAACAACTTTCACATATGAGTCACATCATCAGACATGCAATCCTGCTCAAGATAATCTGCTTATCAATGATACAAGCCTTAAAATGAATTCAAATAGAATGTCATGCCCTATAAACATTTCAAAAGTTCATGATGATGCTGAAGAGAAGGCCTTGGCACCAGTAGCAGAATCTTTACCTATTATGGTGTTTGATGGTGATGATCCATCACGTGATGCTCGTCAGTCAGTTAGTCGTTCCTTGGATTCAACCCTTGAAGCTTTTAAGATGGTCAATAATGATGTTTCAGCTGTTTCAGGCTTGAGTGGAGGTCCACAGCAAGTAGCACAATCACGCTTATTAACTGACAACTCTCAGTTATCAGAGGAAATCAAAAACATCATTTCTGATCCTGCAGTAGGTAAAGATAATTAGACAATTGCTAATTTCATTGCAATACTAAACAAATATACTTCAAAAAAGGACATACTATATTTTAACACGCTTTAACTGACATATGGCTATCTGATCAGAACCACTTTGGGTATCTTTTGTGTCATCCTAAATAATTTTATACATCAAATCATTATCTCTGAACCCGATTCTTGTATTATAATGAATCAAAAAACAAAATTTATAGCTATTATGAATATTTTTGTATGATTTATATAGGTTTTGAAAATTTAATGAATCACTTTATAATGTTATTTATGCAGAGGTATCCCTCTGCAGACACATGTTATTTGAAGGAATGGGCTACGAAGCTGCTGCTCAAGCATTCAACGCTGAAAAATTGGATACTGACAATTTTCTATCTCTCGGTCTTGATATTTTGAAAAACGATAAGCTTGTTGTCAGAATTGGTGGTCTTTATTTTCCATGGGATGCAGCTTTGCCTATTGCTTCAGCAATAGGTTCACAGGAAAAGGTACCAATGCTGGAACCGAAAGGCATGATAGCTGTTGGTCAAGTTGATAATCAATTTTCTGAAGGAGTCACACAGAAATCTATGAATTCCGAAAATGGTTCTTGGAGATTATGGCCTTTCTCATTCAAGAGATCAAATAGCATACAAAACAGGAATTCTAGCTCTGAAACTCCTGCCGAGGGCCTCAAAGATAATGCTGGAAATTCAGATGCAGTTAATCCCAGAGCAATGAAAAAGAAGATACGGGCAAAGTTTCCCACTTCTGAACAGCTTGCATCCCTTAATCTAAAGGAAGGGAAGAATGTTGTGACTTTCACATTCTCAACAGCAATGCTTGGAGAGCAGAAGGTTACCTTAATTGATAATTTTTATTCTTGTTTCTGCTTTATCTTCCTTCACCATCATTGTTGGGTTTGTTTCTCAACTGAACTTATTTTCTGACTTGAACAGGTTGAGGCAAGAATATTTTTGTGGAAATGGAATGCACGGATTGTGGTCTCAGATGTTGATGGGACTATTACTAAGTAAGAATTAATTTAAAAATACTGATACTTAGCTAATCCCTTTTTTCTGTTATAATTCATGTACAATTATTGCTTCATTCTAAAGTATCATGAATGCATGTCCTTTCAGTCTTCTTTCTGAATGCAGCCATCAATACATGTGAATTGCTAATTGATTTTAGAATTGGTTTGGTATACTTTAGCTGCATGTTCTTAATCTGTGGACTA